AGATCAACAATAATATATATTAATTTTCAATCTATTTGAACCGTTTAGAATTAAAAATATCCCATTTAGGGGATCGACTGCGATGTGAAATGGCAATGGAAAATCTCTTACTTTATTTTTCCCTGAATCGGGGAAAATCGGGTTTAGCTCAAATCACGAACCTGCCCTAGGGCAATACTACCCTTTATGTTTTATTGAATAATTGTGATGACAAATTTAACGTCTTTAATAATTTAAGTTATTAGTACATGTTTATAATATTTATATTCAGTATTAATGGCTAAAAAAAATTAAACAAAAATTTTCACTTAAAATTTGTGATGTCTAGTACGTGAATTTTATTTCTCTATACATTTTATAGTGCTGATAACAAACAGATATTATTAAATGATGAACTAAATTACTCATTCATATACCTACTCTACAACATTTAAAAAAGATTTTATAAAAATATTATTATTATAGATCAATTCGTTATATTTATCACATATATGTAACTAGAACAATTTATGATTTTGTACAGAAGTTACAATTTCAATTAATGTTTATATTTTTTTTATCACATTTAACAACATATTAATCCTTATTTTTTTCCTTGCAGTGAATCAATCGCAAGTGCATCCAGAATGTATGAAATTTGGACCCTGAACTCTAACCTCAAATTTATAAAACTCAAAATAACGAACAATTTCGAAAAGAATTAAAACGATACCAATCAAAAACAAAACGAGAAAACAATATTATAAAATGATGGTGAGTAAAATTTTCAACCACTAGCACTGGTTTTATCAATAGAACAGTTTAGATTCGCCATTGAGCGAATCCAAAAGCTTCTGAAACTTTAAATCATTTGTAAATGATGAATATATTTATAAATTTGTATCATTTACAAATATACAACTGTATGAGAAATAGATAAACAATGTATGTTTTCAGAATAACTTATGAAAAATCTCTGAGAACACCTTTCAAAAAAATTAAGTATTAAAAAGCCATACGTTTATTTTTATTTGATACTAATTAAGTACAAATAAGTTAAATCTATGAGTTAAATGTACATAAGTTATAAAAGTCACAAAACAATTGAAATTATTATAATAGAAAGTAAAATGGATATGCTAATGATGTTTCAGAAAAGTTACTACATACATTGAGCAAAAATAAATTTTTAAATAACAATTAAACAGTTTTAGTAACAATTAAACTTAAAAAAAAAAATAAAGTACATTAAAACGTTAAACCAAGTGTAATGTTATCAAAATTTAAAAAGTTGACAATTATTTTCATAATTTTATGATTTTATAATTTAATTGTTCTATGCGAAATAATTGTTAAAAAATCGATAAGGGTTGAACACATTTATATTATCATTCATGCAACTCATAAATACACAAAAACATTCAAACTGAAAGTTGTAACAATATTATGCATATAAAATCTATATTTATAATCTTTTATAATATTCGAATAATTCATATAAAAATTTCAATTCATATAACAATTTCAAAGTGAATTTTTATTTTCAAAAATATAACTTATGCCTATTTCGACCCTGTACTAGTGGTCAAGCGAGTCCATTTTCATTCGGTTCTTATTAGCACGCTACCGGCTATAGATTTTCCAATTCAGCCTTAAGAAAACAGGGATTGAAAACTCATAATTTTAATTTAATTAAGGTTAATAAATCGAAAAAAAAATCCCAGAATTATATTGCTATCAAGGGATAACTACAATAATTCTCAAGTTATAATGCAACTTTATATATAAAGATTATTATTTTATTGAAGCTTTGATTTTGTTTATTTTCTTGGCTATACGTCAATTTAAGGTTTGAGCTTATGACCTCATTAAAAATATTATTCATCAAATTTAATTGCGAGCAATTTTTATTCTATTTATTTCATTAACTTATTGATTAATAATCAGAAAATTTTTATTTTTCATGAGATAATCCAATTCGCTTGATTCATATTTTGTTGATGTTTCAAATTACTTTGAATTGTTTGAATTTGGATTCTGTGTTTTTTCAATGCGTTTTGGTAATTACGTTGGTAATTATTTATTTGTAATTAAGAGTTAATTGAAAAATATTCTTTAACGTTCCGATAAACATTTTCGAGCTTTCTGAAGCTTTCAAAGTCTTTCAAAAGAAATCAATTGAGAACCGAGCTTATTAAGTTATGATAGGGATGAGTCAAGCCCTTTTATCTACGTATTTGCTAGTTAAGTGTTTTTTTTTTCTATTGATATTGAATGTCGAGAAGAATTCTAAAGATTTACTCTATTTTTAATCTCCATAGATGATTGGACAGGTTGTGTATAGTTAAATATCTAAATTTTAAATTTCTCAAAATATCTTTCGATTAGTTTGAGGGTGTATTCTAGTGTAGAGGCATGAATTTTAGATCGTTCTTAAATCCTTGCGAAAAAAAGCAATCAATCTTTTTACTAATATAATTTATTTATCAGTGTTACAAGCCTACAAAAAAAGTTCATAATTGCAGCCCTCCTAGTAATCCGAAATGAAAAAAGAAATTATTTATCTAGAATAATGTCGCAATGGCATACACTAGGATTAAGTTAAAAAAATTTTAAAATGGCGAATGTTTGAAAAAAAGTCCGTTTCATTACTTATCAGTTTCACAATTTTTCTAAAAGTAGTAAAAATTGAAATGTGGTAGTATATATGAGAGAAAAGTTTATAAAGAAGAATCTCTAAAAATTTCAAGGAAATCGGTGCAGTAAAACTCGAGATATCGTGGGCATCGTATTGAAAGAGACAGTTTTGAGAAAAACTCGTTTATTTTTGCAAAAGGAAGGAAACAGAAGAGGATTATCATGGACAAACAGCTGTATTTCCGAAAATAATTTAAATTTAAAAAAATTCTCTCGTACATATATTCTTAAACAGTTAAACTTTGTAGATATGAAACTCAAGAGAAATCGATTTATTTGAATTTCTACACTAGATACCCCCCTTAAAGGTTAACAAATTTTTTTTATAATAATTTCGAATATGAGTATGGTAAGCTGATATACTTCCAATGAAAATATAAAAGTTTTTTACAAGAAAAATGAAGTTTCTAAACTCTGAATCGTAGTATGTAATCGTAAGGAACGATCTTTTCTTTAGGCGCGTGAGCGATTTAAAGCGAGTTTTACCGAGTATAATACACTATGAAAACATATCAAACTTTGGCATAAATTAATTTATTTCAATATATTAGAAAAATTTAAAATTGATTTAAATCATATAAAAATCTTCTTCTTAATTGTTGTTTACTATATTTTTATTTCAATATAAATATAAACAGGTTAATCGCAACTATAAAATCAGAAAAGTTTTAACATGGGCCTTGAAAACTTTATTAGATAATTTAGTTAATAATGTATCAAAGAAATCAAAGAAATTAGTTTCTTTTGCGAAAATTCTTGGAAAACACTATTTTTTATGTCACAGATATATAACTGGCATAGCCCTGTATTGAATTATTTTTTCTCGACGAGCCAAGAAAATTTTATGTCAGTTTGTCAGCCATATATGTCTGACATGCCTTATGTACAATTTTTTAATACCAGACACATATGAATGATGCAGTGATTAACGTGTTGAACTCACTAATTCTTTCAATATATATCAATTCTAATTGAAATGATTTAAAAAATATATATTTCAATTTACCTATATTTTTAGATTTATTAATTAGAAGTTTTAATTGAAATATCGAAATAAAATGTGAGTTTATTTAATATAATACGAACTACTATGACGAATCATCATATAGCTGGTATGAATTGAGCGAATTTGAATCTGAAACTTTTGATCCAAATTACAAAAACGTTTATAAACCTTTAACTAGCGCAAAATTTCGTCTATTCATTTTATCATCTTCAAATTTAATAGATGAATTTTTAAAATCTTTGTCAAAAACTAGATGGTTGAGGCTTGGATTTGTAAATACTGTGTAAAGAATCTTCGAACAAAAAATCTAATGATAAAAAAAACAAGAAGTTTTTCTCCAAAGATTCTTGTCAAGATCATGTATTTTGGCAGATGTCCTCAAGATAGAACGTACTTACAATTAGTTCCGAAACGTATATATGTACAAAATATAGAAACTTATTATAAATAAAAATCTTTTTAAGAAACTTTTTGGAATTTTAATATCATTGTATTCTTTGTTCGAAGCTCTACACAATATCTTAATAATTGGTCAACTGTGACTTTGTTTAATATTTTTAATATTAGAAAGCCAATAGGTGATCGGAGAAATATTTGAAGCCCATAGACTAATTTAATGATCTTTTTAAAATGAGTCAATAATATTTTATCCAAATTTTAATTGTTTTATATTATGCAAAATATTTCCAAATTTCCATAAACGACCAGTTTTGTTTACATTTTCCAATCTAAACTCACACAATTTTCAAGTCACATTTCAATTTTTTTGATATTTCACCTAATAATTATGTGAGATGACGCATAAATCTAAATTCTATAGCATTGCCATGCTCACCAAAGTCAACCTGAAATAACATTTTCGTAGAAAGAATTGCAAATAACGTATTTTATTAATACCAAAAAGTTGGTTTAAACAAAATTCTTTGTTTTTATTTGCATATATAGACTTATAATTACTGATTTTTTATTCCCCTAATGTGAAACAAGAATTCGGTCCATAGAGGAAATTTCTAAATTGGGTTCACCTCCTCAAATTTGTTCATTTTGGGATCTAACTAGCATCCTAAATCTAACTCTCTGTTTATCTCAGGCTTATAATTGCTGATTTTTTGTTCCCCCAATTTATTTGGATGTGAAACAAAAATTTGGTCCATAGAGGTTCAAGAAAATTTCCAAGTAGTTTCCATCACTTACACCTCAAATTTGTTCAATTTCCAATCCAACTTCCATCCCAACTCCAACTATCTATTTCCTCCTAATTCGGCCCTGTGCGCGTATCTGCTCCGCACGTGTAGCTTACCATCAACTTCTTGCGCAGGTGTCAACAGCGCAGACATCAGTGCAGTCCCGAGCCCCGAGCCGGCAGCAAGACAACCCACCGCCATCGAGTTCAGCAGCAGCCGAGGACAACGGAGGCGCTGTCACCGCCAACAATTCGGCGGTCAGCGGCAACGGGCCGGCCGATTCTGCCGCCGGTCTCCAACCTGACAGCTTAGAGGATCAGCCCAGGGGAGAAGTGACAGCTGAAAACACGGACTCGGAGGACGACGACACAGAGGAAGTAAGTGTAAATTGATAAAGATAAGATAATTAGATGAATTGTTCCATATCCTGAACTTGGTTTTGTTAGTGGATACTTTTTTCTAAAGTGCCCGATAAATATTTTGATGCATGCTCTGATTTCTAGTATATTCAATCTTGACACAAAGTGTAAAAAGTTGTTCTCAAAATCTAAAATTTTGTACCTAATCTTGATAATTAACAATTTTGTCTTTCCATCATTATCTTATTGCTTCTTTAAAATATCATTTCGGATATAAAAATATTGAATCCTGCATCTAGTTCTTCAAAATTCAAAAATGACCAATATATATTTTGGAACTTGACCCCATTTCTCAGATATACAATCTTGACACCAAGTGCGGAAAGTAAATTTCTCGCCTGATCCTGATAATTTTTTCATCATCATCATATCGCTTCTATAAAATATACTTTTTAAATAATAAAATACTGGATACTGTATCCATTTTTTTCAAAACTTTGAATTTTGAAAGATGACCCCATTTCTCAGATATGCAATATTGATAAAAAGTGCCTTAAGTCGTTTCTAAAAATTTCAAATTCTTCACGTTATCCTGATAACAATTTCTTCTTCCCATAATCATCTCACTGCTAACATAAAAATATTGGATCCTGTATCAAGTTTATCAAAACTTAAGTGTCCAATATACTTTATATGTTTTGCTCATTTTCCAGATGTGCAACTTTGACATAAAATTCACAAAGTAGTCTGTCAAAAATTCTAAATTTCTTTCTCTCATCCTGATAATTAACAATTTCTTCTTCCCATCATCATCTAATCTTATTACTTCTTTAAAATATCATTGTTGAATATCAAATATTAAATTCTGTATCCTGTTTTTCAAAATTCAATATCATATATTCTGGTACATGCCCCCATTTTCCAGATATGCAATCTTGATACAAAGTGCGCAGAGTTGTTTCTAAAAATCTCAATGTTTTCACCTGATCCCGACAATTATGTAACAATTTCTTTTTTCGAACATTATCTAATTGCTTCTTTAAAATATCCTTTTGAATATAAAAATTTTGGATTCTGTATCTAAGTTTTTCAAAATTTTAATGTGTGCATTATATATTTTGGTACATGCCCCCATTTCTCACACAAGCAATATTGCGCAAACTTGTTTCTATAATCCTAAATTTCTTCACATGATTTTCATAAACTATTTTTAACTTCCCGTAGGGTAAGTTATAGTAATCGCAAAAAAATCGAAAATGAAAATTTTTGCATTTCTCGACGTTTCAAAGGTTTCTGAATATTTTGGCATACCTTAGAAAAAATGGATGTATGTGTGTGTGTGTGTGTGTGTGTGTGTGTGTGTGTGTGTGTGTGCGTGTGTGTATTTATGTGCGGATACAAATTTTCGTCGACGATTTCGGGAACACGGATCAACCGATTTGAATAATTCAAAAAACATTCGATTCGTATTGATAAGGAGACGTGCTGATTAGTTTTTGGCGGAGTCAGGTCTAGCCGTTCCGAAGATACGGGGCAAAAAGTGCCGAAAACGGTAACTCAGTTTTTAAGAGAACGGAGCGTCCGATTTTAATAGTTCAAAAAACATTTTACTTATATTGACAAGGTGAAAAATCGATCAAATTTTCATAAAGGCAGGTCTAGCGGTTTCGGAGATCTAATGAAAAAAGTAAAAAAAAAATGCCATTTGACGGTCAAAAATGATCATTAGACATATGCACATCAAATTATCAGATATTTTATAGAGATTTTAACAATAAGTATAATTTTGGTTTACATTCCTATGGGTTCCGTACCAATGTTTACGCGTTAGACGTCGACGCGGAGCTTACGCGGTTTGATATTTCGTCTTTATGCAGTTAAAGCAGTACGATTGCTTTGAAAAAAAGTTTAGATCTTTCAAAATATGTCAAAATAAAGAAAACATTTTTTTTTTTCAAAAAAAAAAATTAAAAAAAAAAAATTAAAAAAATTTTTTTTTCAAAAAAAAGTAATTTTTTGTCTAATTGTTTGTCAAAAATCTTATTTTTTCGAAGTAAATTTTTTTCAAAAATGTTAATCGTTTTTAAAAAAATAATTTTTGGTACGGGAAGTTCCAGCAATTTGCCTTAAGGCACGATGCCTTAAGACAGAATTCCACTTACAGCTAGTTTCGTCTCATCATTATGTTATTGCTGCTTTAAAATATCCTTTTTTGAATATCAGTATTCCATCATGCATCCAGGATTTTAAAATTCAAAAGTGCCAAAAATGTGTGTTGTTCTATGCCCTCATATCTCAGATGAGCGCAAAGTCATTTCTAAAAATCTTTCATTTTTCACTTGATCCTGACAAGTATTCATTGTTTCTTCTGATTATCATCTTATTGCTTCTTCAAAATATCGTTTCTGAATACTATATTCAGTTTTCCAAAATTTAAAAGTGCCCAATATATAATATATTCTGGTGCATGCCCTCATTTCTTAAATATGCAATCTTGATACCAAGCGAGGAAAGTCGATTAAAAACATCTAAATTTCATTAAATCACCTTATCTTAATAATTAACAATTTCTTCTTCTCATCATCATCTCATTGCTACTTTAAAATTTCCTTTTGGAATATCAAAATATCGAATCAAAGTTTTTCAAAATTTAAAAGTGCCCAATATATCCTTTTCCACTTTTCTTCTCATTTCATTATTTCCTAAAAAATTCCTATTTGAATATCAAAATATTTAATCAAAGTTTTTCAAAATTTAAAAGTGCCTAATATATTTTGTTCCATACCCTCATTTTTCAGATAAGCAATCTTGGCAAAAAGTAGAAAAGCGAAGAAGTTTCTAAATACCTAAATTTCATCACTTTTTCGATAATTAACAATTATCTTCTTCTCATCATCATCTCATCTCATTGTTTTCTTAAAATTTCCTTTTTGAATGTCAAAATATTGGACCCTGTATCCAGATTTTTGAAACCAAGTCATTTATTGTTATGCTTTTCCTTCGGATTCCAAGTTTCCAAACAAATAAGACTGTTTTTGGCAAATGTAAGATATGGAATAGATTATTCATTCCACCTATACCAAAAATTTTATAATAATGATTTATAGACTGTTTGTTGCTCAAAAATTTCTACTTCTATGCTTATCCAAATATCGTACACAATAATTTCTGGAACGATATTTAAAACCACTCAAGGCTTGTACATTGTGATAAATCAATGAATTTATTGGCTTATTTAAGTAGAAAGAAGACATAAAAATATTTAGTGTTATTTTCAAATGTTTCTATTCTTTAATTTTAGGTCGCTGCTGGTAGGGGCGGATGGGGCGCTACTGCTATGGGTGCGCAGTCAAGGGCGGCGAGTCCCCCCGCAGGCAGCGAGACTTCTTCGATAGGACCACCCATGCCGCAACGGTACCCTCAAGCGAACACGGTAAATATCAGAAACCAAATTTTTAGTAAATGACTGACATGATTTCGAATTTTTTTGGAGAGCTTTTGAAAATGACAACAAAAAAACAATGTACTAAAGGATCATTGCTTCTAAAATTTGACAATACCTTCTAATATATTCAATAAAAAGGAATTGATTTAAATATATTCTAAACTTTTGTGCCTTTATTGCGGATCCTAAAATTAACACGCTGTCAACTTCAATCATTTTGGCAATTCTATCCCTACACTGGTCGGAGTGATTGATCGTTTCATCAGTCTCCAAACTTTCTAGTTAGCTATTATTGAACAACATATTTCAACATTTTTTAGCTCATAAATACACCAAATTAATATTGCAACTTCATTGCAAAGTGTTTTATTGTGATATAACATCACTGATATTTTAAATACTGACTTATTGATTTTGCAACCATTGATATGACCAATTATGGTTTCTGACCAACGTGCAAATATATAACTCTTGTAATTTGATAGTCCAGTTCTTAGAGAGAATAGCCACTATATTGGCCAACTAACCTGAAAATTTTTGAATATATATTTCTTGCTAAAAATAGAGCTGAATTCTGTATACAAATAATTTACAAATATGTAAAAACAGTAGCTTCTGAAAAATCTAAATCCATTGCTCGAATCATTTTGACTTTTGAGGATAAGTGCCAAGTAAACAAACGTTTACGATTGGGATACTTTTTTTGATTTTGTATTTGTTTTTATGTATGTATCTTAATGCATTAATTCTGCCAAAAAAATATATAAAATTCTTTCTATTTCTATTCCAGCACAATCTTGACAGCGGTACGGGTAGCAGATATGCAAATCTATCATACTGGAAGGCGAGAAGAGTTCTCTTCTACAGAAATGGTGATCCGTATTTTCCAGGCGTAGAATTTAGGTTTAAACCAGGTCGAGATATTGCAACGTTAGAATCACTTCTCGATAAATTGTCTTTGAGAATGGATTTACCAAGGTGAGGAAATCAATTCGGACCAGAATATGAATAGATCGAGAAATACATAGAAATGTATTAGGATAAGGAAGAGAATACATCGAATAGCTTAGAATAATTTAAGATATCTAAAGCAGGAGATATCTAAATTCTGTATTTAGATACTATCCTTAGATAATTTAAAAAATCAGAGTTTAAAATTAAAATGCTTAAATAGAAAATAGTCATCAGCAACTGGTACAATCCAATGCACCCTAGGGGAAGAAAATTTAGAAAAAATAAATCATTCTAGGAGTCGAAAATATATTCTTTAGCGAATGATATGCGCAGAATTCGGAATCTAGTTCAATAAGACCCGCATTATTCTACTATTACTGCAATAAATATAAAAATTGAGAATTTTGCTAATGAAATATAATTCATTCAATCAGTCAATTGACAAATCTGTATTGTTGTAACAAAAAACTAAAATTAATGATTGTCTCCAAACCAGCTTCATCATATTTTCATTCAGTATGTTGTTGTCATGCAAAAGCTTCAGTATTCAAATTCGAATTTATTCCTAGGTTTCCGTAATGTAGAAAAAGCGGCGATGGTTAATCTATCGTCTTTCCATCATTTTGGATATAAAAATATTGGATCCTGCATCTAGTTTTTCAAAATTCAAAAGTGACCAATATATATTTTGGTACTTGTCCCCATTTTCCAGATATGCAATCTTGACACCAAGTGCGCAAAGTAAATTTGTTCACCTGATCCTGATGATTTTTGTCCCATCTTCAGTATTCAAATTCGCATTTCATCTTAGGTTTTCGTAAAGTAGAGAAAACTGCAATAGTCAATCCACAATATGGGACAAAAATAATTCTAATTAGAAATACAATAAGAAAGTTTTTACAGCGATAGCAGTTCTCGTTAATTAATTTTATGATATAAATCATTCCTTAGAATCTAATTTATTAATGTTTTGAATTCTTTTATATTTTCCAGGGGCGCCCGATATGTTTTTTCAATGGACGGAGACAGAAAGTACAGCTTGGACGAGTTGGAAGACGGCGCTTCTTATGTTTGTTCTTCATACAAAACTTTTAAGGTAGGATAATTTAAATTTACAAATGCATATATTTAATTTTGCTAATATTTTTTCGAATATCTCCATACACTTTAATATATGATATCGAATTAGATATACATTGACGTACAGTGAAATATTCGGTGTAAGTTTAGAGGCAAATAGCGTATTTCTATGAACCACATTATCTTTTATTTAATTCACATTTCAATTATGTACCTATATATAAATAAATAGAAATATTTATTTTGGTTCAGACGTTTCGAGACCACATGTGTATCATTCAGCTCAAAAATTGCAATATTTAGTACAAAAATACAGATTTATAAGTGAACAAAGTCGAACAAAAAACCTCAATATATATATTTAAAATCTAATTCTATCATGAACTCTTTCAAAGATGAATATTTTTGTGGTATAACAAAACTCGAGTCTGTATAAATACAGAATGCTAAATTTGTGTATTTTAGGAAAATTTACCTAAAATCTTTCAATTTTAAACGTGTAAAAAATTATACAGAAAATTTCGAATGAATATATTTTTATATTTTTTTAAACTCACTATTTGTTCGTAATGGTTCAGATGGATGCTAGATTTTATTATAAGTTCAAAGTCCTTGATATTCATTTAAAATTTATTTAAATGATCTTATATTCAAAAAAATCTTTTCAAATCGATACCATTACTTAACAAATTTTTATATAAAATGAACATAACTAATACTAGAAAATATTTCATTTGAACTAAATCGTAAAATACCACAATCTAATAAAAAAAAATTCTACAGTACATTTTTTGTCCCCATTAAGTTAAAAGATATATATTATCATTTGACAATAGTGTTATCTAGCGTTTGTGCCACAATCCTTGATTTGAACTATTAAGAAACACCATGTAGTATATAAGAAATCGATAATTTTAAATCCCAACATTTTGTGTATATATTTTTATAAAATTTCATATATTTCTATAAAGCTGCACCATTTGCGGAAATAAATTGTATTAATTGTAAGACTGAATTTTTTTCACCATATAATTTACAACTGTCTTTAGTCGACATTTAGTAAATTCAAGGACAATATAGTTAAATCGCATATGACAAATGAATGAAAATAGCAGTGTTACTTCTTCTCCAAATGTAAGACTGAATATATTTAAATATAAGAAGATTCATGTATTTTGTTATAGAATATGAGTATAAAAAATCCTAATTATAATAATTTTTCTGATTTGTGCGGAACTCTCATATAGGACCGACGTGAACTCGTATTTTCCCAAATCTTTAGTATTTTTCTTGTGCTTTTGCATCTCACAATTCTGAATCGAGCTAAACGAGGTTAGATTTGCATAAAAACAATTGTGCTATATATCTGACTTCTTGCCCCAGAACGCGTGTCTATAGATTTCTAGAACTAGATTTCAAATCGCAATGCGCTGATGTGATAGTCTTAACTAATGGAAAATGTCCAAAAATAATGAAAATTTGTATTACTTTCTACTAATTATTTTCAATTTCCTCGGAAAAAATTTGAGCAATTTTTTTTTTCAATTCGAAAAGATATATTTCACTATTTAAAATTGGTACTTAAATTTGAATTACATTATATATGAATTTATTACTCAAGGGTATTATACTCTAACAATGTTTATGAATATTGTTATACATTTTATATTAGTAGAATTAAGAAATGCTTTTATTGTTTTTTTTTTACACTGGTAGGACCTTGTTCCTAAATTACAAATATTTTTTTTTAAAGCTCTACATTTTACAATAATAATCGATAACTATAAATTTACTTATAATTTTACTTTTACTTTTACCTATACATTTGTTAAAAGTATGGTTGCACATATGTTTGTAATAAAAAATCAAATTTATAAAATTGTTTTACATACGTAAAGATTCATAGATAATACAGTAAAAATTGGTACCAAAGCTTTGTACAAAAAAAAGAGTTATAATTTCATTAGCAATTCTAATTATTAAAATTTCAGATATCTATTAGTAAATGAGTCAAAAAATTATTTTCTTTGATTTTAGATTTTCAAAATATAATTCTATGATATACAAATAAAATACTGATTGTGAGTTTATCTAAAATATTGTTCTGAACAATAAAATCTACTATAAATATTTTAAATGTATAAACATTCAAAAGCTAAAAGTTCCGATTAAAAAAAATTAGAATGATTTTTTAAATAACATACATAAATAAAACCAAGAGCTCTAAATATACAAAATCAAAAAAAAAAGCATGCCTTAAATCGAAAAAATCTGCAAATCGTGAACGACAAAACTAAATATCATCCAAAACAGAAAATAAAAAAAACTAATTATTGTTAATTTTGATTTTTAATAATACTAAGTTATAAATCACATGTATAAAAAAATCTAAATTTTATAAGATAGTAATTATCTTAAATATAAAAAAATTCAAAACTGTTTCCGAATTGAATTCATTTATACTATAGTTCCAAATTAAAAGTACCTACGAAGAAATTCATATCTTATGTTTTTCTCTTTAATTATAAATTATCTGCATTTGTTAATTAATTATTTTCTTTTGATAGGTTGAAATGTCTACAAAATGCTAAATTTAGTAAAGGAATTAAACAGATTTGAATAATATTTGTATGTGCTGTGTTAATTCAGAACACATTCATTTTTCTAAAGGTTGCCAAAATATTGAGAAACGTAAGATATGCAAAAATTTCGTTTTTGATTTTTGAGCGATTACTATAACTTATCCTACGGGAAATTAATAAGTTACCATTTATTATAACATATTTATTTTGTTATAAATATGTTTAAGTTTTGCGGAAGCACCGATGGTTTTATGAAAAAAAAAAACTGAGAGGGGTCTAAGTAAAACTATGATTTTTCAATTATAGTTGTGCAAGATTTTCATCATTTTTTTCTTACATTATGTAAAGCTGTAATAACATTATGCGAATATAATCCTGACGGGTTTCGTTCTAGTTTTCCGCCATTAAAATGTTATTCGTGTAAGTACATAATGCAATATTTTATAAAAGAAAATCCTAATTTCTTTCGTCCATTTAGGGCAGCCATAATTTGATCGGATGTCGAACATTATATTACATCACGGGGCGCTCCCTGTGGTGTGCCCTCCTTATTCCTCGAATATTTAATGATGATTTTAATCTATTTTGTGCATCAGAACATATAATGCAAATTCTGCACTACACGGAATAACATATGGTTTTATTTACACACGTGGATGGAGTCGTAAAAAATAATACGATAATAATATGATTATTTTAATAGTTGTAACGGTTTTATTATTAAAATGAGAAACACACAATTATAAAACTATTAACTTTATTAAAATTGTTCGTGGGTTCAAAGAAATGCGATAAAATAATACAGACACTTGATTAAACTTAGAAAATGCGCGTTGGATGGTGAATCAATTCGACTCAGTGAGAGCAAAATAGATTCGGGCGTCAGGTTGTTAAGAACTCAGTGAGAATTCTTTAACAACAACTTTACCGGACCGTTTGTAACTCCAATACTAGATTGAAGTCCCAAGTGATGGTCAGGGTTGAGAAACAACTAGTTAACAATTTCAGTGAGAAATATCATAACCATAAAGCTTTTAGCCGCGGGCGAACTAAACACTTCTGACAATTTTTCTGATTCTGCTAGGCTTTTTATACGATTCTTTCTTCTCCTACTCCCGTAGTGGGGTTGAATTTTGGTGAGGGTGGTGGTTCCTTCGTGTCCGTCCGAGAGCTCCTTCGCATCGTTTCGGGGTTCTTCGTCGGTTCATCTCGCCAAAATCTTCGGGGATGAGATGGTCATTGGTCTATGATGAACTCATCTCGCTTGAGGTCATCGATAATTGGCTATGACAAATTTCTCCTTCGGTGTCGTGGAATGTGTACATATGATTATCTTTCTCACACCCTCGCTTGAGTCACAGGTAGTGTTAGAACGATAGTATCGATACTGAGTAAGTATCGATACTTTGATTTCGATAATGAGTACTTTTGGAATCGATACTTTGGGTCGATTCTTTTGGCGGTATCGATACTTTGCGCCGATTCTACTCAAAAAGTATCGGCTATATTTTTTGACCCCATCAAAAGTTCGACCGCATTTTATGAACACTACTCATTCTTTTTTGTCGTGGCGGCACCGCTCTTCATAGATAACGAACGAAAGAAGCGATAAGTCGAGTGCGATATGGTTTTTGTTAAAGAAAATGTTTATGAATGCCCCTAGTTCGAAGCCAATGATTAACAATAAATAAAAGAATTAAAGTTTAAGATTACGTACGTCGATAATATAATTTCTGTTACCTCCGAGAACATATGTTTATCAACGATAATAAATTTTGTATGTTATATGCAAAAACCTTGTTATCTGCGAAATTGTCACGCAACCAACTTTGGTTAAATAATTTATTAAGACATTCGATTTCCGATTCTAATTTTTAAAGCCGATACTTTTTTTCTAAAATAAATACTACTTCATAATCACTAAGTATTTCCATTAAAATTATTATAATTCCGATTTTAATATTTAAAGCCGATACTTGTTTTTTCTAAAATAAATACTATTTTATAATCGCTAAGTATTTCCATTAAAATTATTATAATTCCGATTCTAATATTTAAAGCCGATACTTGTTTTTTCTAAAATAATAAATTCTTTTTGATATAAATTAGCCGACATTATAATTATAAATGAATACTTTCGTCACAAAACAATGCTTTTTTTAATTAATGAGTATTTTTCTTTGTGATATAAATTAGCCGATACTAAATTCATAAATGAATACTTTTGTCACAAAACAATACTTTTTTTTAATTAATGAGTATTTTTCTTTGTGATATAAATTAGCCGATACTAAATTCATAAATGAATACTTTTGTCACAAATAATACTTTTTTTAAACTAATGAGTATTTTTCTATGTGATATAAATTAGCCGATACTGAATTCACAAATGAATACTTTTGTCACAAAACAATACTTTTTTTTTAATTAATGA